AAGAGAGATGTTGGTCTGTCTTCCTTTTTCAGCTCTTTGAGTCGTTTTGTAGATTGTCTATTTGTGATCTTTTTGACTTTTGGTTACAGGCATTTATGAGAGATAAACTTTCCTATCAGAATTGCTTTAAGCTGTGTCCCAGAGGATTTGATAACTTTCTCCTATTGTCATTTTGTTCATAGAATTTTTTTATTTCCATCTTGATTTCTCATTTATGAAGTAGTCATTTAGTAGGGTTGTTTAATTTCCACGTTTTTTGTGTAAATGTGAGTTTCTGTTAGGTTGGAGTTCTACTTTTATCACTGTGATCTGAGAAGACACCATGATATGATCTATTTTATTAAATTTCTTGAGATTTTCTTTGTGTCCTAGGATATGGTCAATCTTAGAGAATGTCCTGTGAGCTGATGAGAAGAACATATATCAGTGGTTTGGGTAGAATGTCCTGTAATGTCAGTCCAGCACCAATTGTTGTTCTTAGATGTTTGTTTAAGTCCATTATTTCTTTAATTTTCTGTTTGGAGGATCTAGTCGTGTGCCATCAGTGGAGTGTTGAAATTCTGGTGATTGGAGTGCTGTTATCAATTTACTTGATCCAGTAGGTTCCTTTATGAATGTGGGTGCACCTAAGTTGGTGCATATATATTTAAAATTGTATACTCTTCTTGTTGAAGTGTGCCCTTCACCATTATATAATGCCTCTTTGTCTTCACTACTTTGTTGGTTCAAAACTAAATCGTCTAAAATTAGAATGGGCACGCCAGCCTTCTTTGCTTCCACTTTGTTTGGAATACTGATTCATCCTTTTACTTTAGTCTATATGCACTCAGGTTAGATGTGTTTCCTGAAAGACAGCATATACTGGCCTGATTTTCTTAATCCTTCAGCCAGCCTATGTTCTTGAGTGGAGAGTTTAAAGCCATTGAACATTATTGAGAGAACTGATAGTAAGTAGATTATGTCATTCTGTTGGGTTGGATTTGTTGCTTTGATTTCCTCTTGAGCCATTGTATTATCTGGCTTTAATCTTTGAGTTTTGGTTGTTTTATATTCGTGATTTTTATTATGTGTTCTGTGTGTAAACTGTTTTGAGTACTTCTTGTAGGCTGTCTTGTCTTGGTGAATTCTCTGAGACTTGCTTGTCTGAGAATGTCTTTATTTCTCCTCATATAGGACAGCTTATTTTGCAGGGATAAATTCTGGCTGGGCATTGTTTTGGTTGCAGAAGAGTGAGAATGCGGCCCCAGTCTTTCCTTGCTTGTAAATCTCATTAGAGAAGCTGGTGTTATTCGAATTGCTTTCCTTGTATGTTACTGTGATTCTTTCGCTTACAGCTTTAGAAGGCTCTTAGTTGATATTTGGTCAGTCTGAGACTGCATGTTGTGACGTCTTCCTGTTTGCATTGAATCTCCCAGGGATCCTCTTGAACTTGTATATCGAGATTTGAGACAAGGCTGGGAAATTTCCTCTATTATATCTTCAAACAGCTTGTCCAACCCTTGAGTGTTGTCTTCTTCCCTCCTGTAACCCTATGACCCTCACATTAGGTTTCTTCACGTAATCCCACATCTCTTTATAGGTTTGCTCTTTTCTCTTGTTTCTCTGCTCTATCTCTGTGACTGATTTATTTAGTTGGAGGGTATTATCTTCAAGCTCTGAGATTCTTTCTTCTGTTTGATTACCCTGTTCTTGAGACTTTCCACTGAATTTTGTAGTTCTCTGAATTGATTCTTCATTTCTAGGAGTTTGGTTAAACTTTTCTTCATTGTGTTGATTTCTATAGTGAACTTTTGTTCCAGGTCCTGGAGGCTTTTTGTGGTTTCTTTGTGTTGGTTATTGAGTTGTTCTTGGAGGTCGTTGAATTTTCTTATGATCCACATTTGAAATTCCTCTTCTGTCATTTTGTTTGCCTGATTTTGGTTGGTGTCTGTTTCTAGGGGGCTGGTGCTCCTCTTTGGGGGTGTGGTTTCTGTTTGGTTCTTCATATTTCTGTAGTTCCTTTGCTGATTTCTTCCCATGTCAATCAGCTGTTGTTTCTTTCCTTTAGGTTTTTGTTTGGGTATTCACAAGCCTTGTTTAGTTTCTGAGCTGGTAGGTGGTGTCTGTGGGTGAGATTCGACCACTCCCTGTATAATGAGTCAGTAGGTGTCGTGAAAAGGGTGTGCAGGATGCCCTCCCTGTCAGTAGATGGCGCTTGCTTGGAGGAACAGGCTACACTCTTGTTTTTGTGTCCTGTTATCAGCTCTTGTTCCTGTAGAGAGGCACTCTAGTGCCTCAGGTGGTGGTGGTGGGGCCCTGGGACTTCCAGGTGTGTCCTTTTCTCCCCCTCAGTGAGGGCTGGTCTAGGAGAGAGTCTGGGTGGAGCTGGGTTGGGTAAGCCTGCCCTCAGGCACCACCAGTGCCGTTAGTGGGGGTCAAAGTTCTGTTCTCTGCTTCCAGGAAAAGCTGTCAGGGAGGGGCTGGAATGGCCCCGCTCAGTCAGAAAGTCTACGTGTGGGGTGGGGCTGTCTGAGACCCGCAGTCTGGAGCGGGTCTCGCTTCTTTCCACCCTCCCCAACTCCGCAGCTACTCCTGGGCCTCTGCCAGCAGGCCAGACCACACGCCACCAGGCTTACCCTGACTGTGATGCCGGCTGGGAGGTTCCCTGCGCAGGAACGCCACCTGGGCTGGGCTCACGGCCTCCCTTTGGAAGGAGGGTTGCCCTCTAGGAGGCTGATCTGCCCCCGAAGACACACACACCTCAGTAGGCCGTTCACGTATATCCCTTCTGTGCGCAGGACAATGCGAGACCTCAGTGCACGGGATCTGGTCTGTAGGTCTGACCTCTGGGCCCCAGAGTTCAAACTATATCTCCACCAGGGAAAGGAGTGCCGGTCCCAGTTCACCCACGGGGAGCCCAACCTTGGTGTATGTCTCTCAGCCTCAGGGTTTGCCCCATTCTCCTGGGATCACCGTGCTAGCAGCACCTGGGAGGGCTGGAGGGTAGGGAGCTCTCAGTCTGAGTTCCTCTTAGTCAGCTGTAGGGCCCCAAAAGGGATGGTCCCATTCCCTGGAGGTGCCTCCGGCTAGTGGCTATATTGTCTCTTTGGGCAGCTGCGGGTAGGGTCGGGGGAGGGGAGAAGGAGGCAATATGGCCCCTGCCACGCGGCTTGGGTCTGTGCACATGGAGGTGCCCTGAGGGATTTGGGAGCCTGGTGCCACGTCCGCTACTGGCTTACCACTCACTGGCGGCAGCCGTCTCTGGGCTGGTGTCCGCAGGTCTCTCCACCTGCTGGGGAGCCCACCAGCAGTCCAAGATGCAGGGGAGGGGAAAATTGACCGATCTACCTACTCTTCCCGCTGGTCTCGAGGCTGCTCCAGCAGTCTCAGCTTCCAGTTCTCCTCCTCAACCTCCTCCCGTGGAGTCTCCCGTGGTCTCAGGTACTCCTCCTTCCGACCCTCGTCCAATGTATGCTCGTCTTCTTGCTTCTTTCTTCTAATTTCTGCTAGAATCTGTCTTTTCTGCAGAGACACTCTGTCTGGCGGTGTTTCTCGTCCACCATCTTAATTCCCCTCTCAACATCTTGGTATGTGGCTTTTGTTTAGTTTGGCTATTCAGTGTGGCATTATGTTTAATTTGGAGAACATGACATTAGGGGCCTTGGGATCCTAAATTACATAGAAAATTATGCTGGCTGGTGTTGTGAGCACAGTGAAACAGAAAAAAAAGAAATCCCATAAGAAGGAACTGGCTAAACTGTGAACTGTGTGTGTTCTAGACCGATTTGGTTTGTAAAGCATTCTTTAATTTTATCTGTGTAATCAAGGCAGTCACACAAACCATTCCATAGATTCTTTTTCTTTTTACCTTCTGTATAAACAACTCCCAGAATCCATAGATTCTTTCTTAGGACTTTGGCCCTAAGAAGGTAGTCTAGATTGTAAGTCCCATTTCTTTCTTGCTGAGCAGTCCTCCCTATAACCAGGGTTGAGATGACCTACTTTTGAAAGAAAGGCCCAAATTGTCTTCTGGTATTTCCATGGAGAGTAGGAGGCTCAGTAGAGTCCCTGAACTGTTGCACGAAGACAGATTACTGTGCATGCATCTCACTGTTTCTCATCCACATCTTGTTTCCCTCTAAGCATCTCTGTTTTGCAGGTTCTCACCAGAAAATACAGAGCTTCTTACAACTTTAGGATTACTCTACTTACAGGTAATGAGAACTCTTTACTCATTTAAACATTGATGTCAGAAATGCTTTTGGGCTTGTGTGTATGGTGGTTTTTCTGCATTTTGATATTTAACATATTTTACTAAAGGTCATATGAAGCACATGAACCTTGCTTTCTGTAGTAAGTATTCTTTTTTTTTTTTTTTTTTTTGAGATAGAGTCTTATTTTATCACCCTGGCTAGAGTGTCATCAGCCTAGCTCACAGCAATCTCAAACTCCTGGGCTCAAGCAATCCTCCTGCCTCAGCCTCCAAAGTAGCTGATACTACAGGCATGTGTCACCATGCCCAGTTAATTTTTTTCTATTTTTGGTGGAGACAGGGTCTTGTTCTTGTTCAGGCTGGTCTTGAACTCTTGACCTCAAGTGATCCTCCTGCCTCAGCCTCCCAGAGTGCTAGGATCATAGGCATGAGCCATTACACCCAGACTGTATTTAGTATTCTTTGCTAAATGAATTAATTTTCTGCATTTGAATTGGAAGTAATTCTATTTTAGCCTAGTGCATTTATAATTTTTATCTAACCAAGAAAATAACATATATGTGAAATAACTGGTCTTGGGGGCTGTTATTTTATTGTGGGGGGAGAAACTATGATACAAGTTAGCACTTCTAGGGCTTTAGGACAAAGACCTTTTCTATTTTTTTCCCCCTGCCAGAACCTTATAGGGAAAGAGAGAAGGCAAACCATACTTTATCTAGAATAAGAAGTCTCTTCTCCCCTCCACGTTCCTGAGTGTGAATGGGATTCTTTTAGCTCTACTGCTTGTCCATATCAGCCTGAGGACCTGGGGCCAGGGGTCCCTAGGGACCTCGCTGCACACCCTGCCTCCTCCATTTCCCAAGTTCCACATTCAGCTGATTCTGCCTCCAGCTCTGACTCTTTTTCTTTAAAAGTAATCAGGAGCTTAACCCTTGGTCTCTCTGGGCTTTGGCTTGGGAGGTTGGCCCCAAGGGAGATGAGGCTAACCAACCTATTTTCTGCTAAGAGGCATTAATGTGGAATAGCACTGGTGTGACCAAGATCATTCCTAGCAAATAGATACTTTGACCTGATCAGGGGACAAATAGGAGGAAAACCATGAATATGGGGAGAATTTTAGTTTTTTTCTTTATTGGGTAACTATAGCTGTTTCTTTTCCTTTTCCTTTTCCCTTTCCCTTCCCTTCCTTTCCTCTTTCCTTTCCCCTTTCCTTTCCCCTTTCCTTTCCCCTTCCCTTTCCCCTTCCCTTTCCCCTTCCCTTTCCCCTTCCCTTTCCCCTCTCCTCTCCTCTCCTCTTCTTTTTTTCTTTTCTTTTTTTCTTTTCTTTTTTGGCAAGTGAACTCACAAAAGTCACAAGTTAGGGTGTTTTCTCTTCTGGGTTTGGTTGGCCAGACTCCTTAACTGCCATATCGCCCGCTGATGTAAATTTTCTGGTTTGCTTTTTTCTCTAGCTCGGCATTTACCAGAAGGCATTTGAACATCTTGGAAATGCACTGACTTATGACCCTACCAACTACAAGGTATTGCAGGCTATGAAACTCCAGAACCTTCACATAGATGTTCCCCTGCTCCTAGAGGTCATCTGACCCTGGAAAGCAAGGAAGATAGCTTCCTCATTTTGAATACCTGAGAAATTACCTTTTTCTTAGAAAAATTATAAGAGGAAGCTCTTCTTATTTGAAAATATTGCAAAGTGTTGGTGCTCTGCTGCTTTTCTTCTAAAAGAGCACATTTGTTATAACGGGCCTGTAACCTCTACAGAAAGCAAAATCATAGTGCTGTTAAAGTTTATGTGTTACTTAGGAAATTAGCAATGCTTCCACAACTGTGGTCAAAAATCATTCTGGTGAAATGACTTCTAGATTCCTAATGAATGTGAGATTACAACTTTTGTCTAGATGTGACTTTGGGGATGAGAAGGAATATCATCAAATGGATGAATATTGTTGAGGGAGGTGCAGCAAGACGGGCCGTTTACTGAAGGACGCAAACTCAGTCCTGATTTAGGAAGTCATACTATCCTGACTCTGTTGGCTCCCAACCATGGTACCTTTCCGTAGAGGAATGAAAGGGCTGGTCTGATGAAGCCTAAATCTGACCCACCCTCTGTTCTATGGCAGAAAGAGCTGTAACTTAAGTAGCCAAGGACAGGTGTATTTGAGGTGGCTAGGGCACTTGCTGTACCAAGTAGAGGCTGCAGAGAACAGATTAAAGGCAGTTTTTACTTAAAGGACCCTGGTATTTATTCTGAAATACTGACTTCCCTGGCTAGAAGTAGGAAACAAATCAGACGGTTATAGCCAGTGACATTTTATCTTTTCTCTTTTTTTGTACTGTGCCAAAGAGGGTCACAGTGTGAGGTATGGGACATTCTTCTGCATTTGTCCCAATAGCTTGGATATATTATTTATGTCCCTGGAAGTTTTTCAGTGCCATCTGTGCTGACGGGCCTGCTGAGTATCCATGTGCAGGAAGGCTACCTCACTGTGGTAGCCTTTTGGGAATGACTGAATTATTATACTCACTTTCTGTGTGCCATGTTTTCAGGCCATCTTGGCAGCAGGCAGCATGATGCAGACCCACGGGGACTTTGATGTTGCCCTCACCAAATACAGAGTTGTAGCTTGTGCTGTTCCAGAAAGTCCTCCTCTCTGGAATAACATTGGAATGTGTTTCTTTGGCAAGAAGAAATATGTGGCAGTGAGTATCCCTAGTGTTCCTTGTTTGTTTTCATACATGCTGTTATTGGGTCTGCTTAGCTTGTCCCACCCCCTCATTGAGTGCCTTCTCTCTCCTGTAGGCTATCAGCTGCCTGAAACGAGCCAACTACTTGGCACCCTTTGACTGGAAGATTCTGTATAATTTAGGCCTTGTCCATTTGACCATGCAGCAGTATGCATCAGCTTTTCATTTTCTCAGTGCGGCCATCAACTTCCAGCCAAAGATGGGAGAGCTCTACATGCTATTGGCTGGTAAGAGACATTTATATGGAAAGCCCCCTCCAGTCTGTCATGAGAGAAAAATGGGTTAGAATCATAGGTCAGTGGCTAAATGTCCCATAGTAGCCATTCACTTGGAGATCCTATAGGAATGTGGATTACCGTCCTAGAGCTTAAAGAAATACAAAAGAAAAAGATGACAAAGTAACTGGTTGCTTCTAACCTGGGGGGATTTCATTCAGAAACCAGTAAGTTAAATCAAGATCATCCCTAGTTCACCTTTTACTAATTTTTTCCTCTTGGCTTAACAATTCATTTTTACATATATCGAGCCCAGGTAAGTTCCAGATATTGAGTGTTAAGAGCTTGAGCGTTAAGTGGGGTCCTGCCTCCACTACTTACTATGTGTACTTAGGGTTGATGTGAGGATTACATTAAATATTCAGTGAATAAAATACATTGGTTTTATTGAAATACTAGTTTTTGAAAACTATTTTGTGGTTATATAATTGGTATATTATGATTAAAATAGTGGTGGTTACTATAATTGGTCCCTAGGTGGTAGTTCTAAGTTAAGCTACCTTATGTTGAAACCCTTATCTCTTCTGAGCATAATGTTTTATAGAATGTGGTTCCATTCCTGAAACTCCATTTTATATTATACAAATACTACAGTTGATCACAAATATAAGTTAAAATTAATCACTTAAAATTATATAAAACTATTTAATTTAAAAGGACCAATTAAATATACTTTCTGAGGAATATTCTCTCCATATACCAAACTTACTGAATCTAAGCCTAAAAGCAGTTTTCCTGTGCGTATTGACAGTAACTGTCTGGTGGGTTTTTTGGTCATTACTCTGGGGTTTTTATTCATAAGAGAAAGTTTGCAAAAGCAATGAAGAGGTGGTTATTCTCTGAGGGTGCTTGAATACAGAGATAGCCCCGTTCTGATGGTACCTAGAAAGGTAAACAGCCATAATGTAAGGTGTCAGCAGCAATTATAACTTTACAAAGTAGAATGGCATTCACATTGGATCCTGAAGGACAAGCTAGCATGGAAGAGCACAGAATGGCTGAGGAGTCACTGTGTACAAAGGCACGCAGCCTCAAACTCCAGTGTCCCTTGCAGTTAGTGAGCAATAGTGTTAGCGACTGTGGTAAGAGATAAGTCAGGAAAGGTGGTCTGTAGTCAGATTATGGAGGGCCATGAGTACAGTGCCAGGACTTAAGACTTTCTTAGAGGCCGTGTTTGTCAACTTGTATTCCTATATCTCCTCTTAGGTGCCTGGTAGGTGTGAGTGCATAGCTGGCGGGGAGGTGGAGTGGGCAGAGCTTCCAGAGCAGCTGTCTTTATTTGTTTTAAATAGTAGACATCAAGGAGATAATGATTAAAAGGGAGGAAGGGGAAGTATTCTATTGCTAAATAAAAGTTTGAAGATCATGGTTATAGGTGGTAGAGAACCAGTGAGGATTCTTAAGCAGCATATGACATGGTCAGATTTGTTTGTAAGTTAGTGAGATACCTGGTGGCATTGTGGAAAGTGGAATGGAGGCAGGTGGGATATTGCCATTGAGGAAATAAATGGAAAACCTGAAACTGCTTGAGCCTGCACAAGGGCATTGTCAGAAAAGAAACTGCAAAAATAGGGTGCACAGAACTTGGCAGCTTATTAACTGTGGAGAAGGGATTGTTGAAGATGGTACCAGGTATCTAAACTGAATGAGTAAGCTGTTCTGCCATGAGCTGGGAGGGTGGAGGAGGAGTCCAATTTGGGAGACGTCTTGAAATACACTTTTTGTTTTCTAAGCTGACCTCTCTAGCTGCAGTGCTCACTTTCTTTGTTGCAGTGGCTCTGACAAATCTGGAAGATACAGAGAATGCCAAGAGAGCCTACGCAGAAGCAGCCCGCCTGGATAAGTACGCTGCTTTGTCGGGAATGGTACTGGGGAGAGTTGGACTTGCTAAAGCCGTGAGGAACCATTGCATTGGTGCTGCTGGAGTCAGCCCAGATGCTCCTCCATGGCCTTTGTACACAGCAGGCCCAAGTGTGGAAGTGTGTGGTTCCTAAGCATGCAGTGGCTCATTTCTGAGAAAATGTTTCCAGTCTCAATTTAGTAGTCAGGGGGCCAGAGAAAGTTGAACTGGCGTGGGCTTGAGTTGCTGATAGTTGGGGGTTAGATGGAACATCAGATGGGACTCTGGGCTCAGTTAAACCTAAGGTGGACTCTTCCAGGATTTGTTCCACTGGCCTCTGCTAGACAACAGGGTAGGGGTTACTTTTACAACCCTGATCTGGGAGGTCTCTGTTGAGGGCTGTGATGTCAGACTTGATCCCAATACCTGCTTTGCTGGTTGGGCAGTTAATTCCTTGATTCTTCTCCACAGGTCCACATAACACATGTTCCCCCCTTGCTGCATAGTGGAAAACTCTATTTAACCAGTTTTGTTGTGTTTTGGGGTAATGAGAAGGATCTCTAAGTTTGTCATAAAGCCCCAGCTCCATAGACTCCCTGTCTGTCTGCCACAGGTGTAACCCTTTAGTAAACCTGAACTACGCTGTGCTGCTGTACAACCAGGGTGAGAAGAGGGGTGCCCTGGCCCAGTATCAGGAGATGGAGAAGAAAGTCAGTCTACTTAAGGACAATAGCTCTCTGGAATTTGACTCTGAGGTATGTCTTTTATTAGCTTCCAGGAGTCATAAGCAAACTGTCAGGAGACTTTGGAACAAACCCAAATAATCCAAACACAGTATAGGGTCATGGCTCTTTGGGCTTTGATGTTCTTGGCAGCATGAGTTCATCAATTAGTAACAACTTGAGAAAAAATTTCCTGGAATAATAATAAAAGGGAATTCAGGCTTACTGAATTATCTGTTACATTACTAATACAACTCATCTAAGTTGAGGTCTATATCTCTTTGTAACTTCCTCCCACTGCCCTTCATATAGGAAAGGTAGAAGTTACCTCAATAATGCAACAAATTTGAAATGTTGGGTTTTGAGATCCTGTATGAACCCCCTTGCCATCTACTAAGGGCAATCTGTATTCTCTGCTGTTTGAGAACAGTTTCTTTCACTAAGTACTTCCTACCTATGTTATTTTAGCTAAAACCCCTGGTGAAAGACCAAAGAAGAGGTGGGTTGGCTTGTCTCTGCTAGTCATGCCTATGACTTTTTTTCTTCCTTTGGGGGCACAAGATGGTGGAGATGGCTCAGAAGTTGGGAGCTGCACTTCAGGTTGGGGAGGCACTTGTCTGGACTAAACCAGTTAAAGATCCCAAATCAAAGCACCGGACCATTTCAACCAGCAAACCTGCCAGTTTCCAGCAGCCTCTGGGCTCTAATCAAGCTTTAGGACAGGCGATGTCTTCAGCAGCTGCATACAGGAAGCTCCCCTCAGGTAGGAGGTTATACAGTGCTCCATGAAGACATAGTGGGTATAAGCCACGAGCAAAGAGATTACAGCTTTAAGCGTGGTTTGAACTCTTCAGACTCGTAACATGTCCAAGGTAGTATTGGCCAGAAAGAGGGAAAAACCACAGGGTGGCCCAACTGGCACTTGTTTCCTTAAGGCAAACTGTGTAGTAGGTAATAGCCACTTGCAGGCTTAGCTGAATGGTCAATATACTGGGTCTTTATAGTTTTAAAGTCTAAAAATATTAAGTGTATTTACTATATCACTGCTTTATCATAAGTTGGCACAGTATAAGTAATTAAAGATTTCTTTCAGTGACTCATTATAGGCAAACGTGATATTGTTTATTTCTTCAGTTATGGTCTTTCCTCCTAGCTGCAAAGATACACCACAGTCCCACTAGTCCCAGAAAATATGGAATTTCCTTTTGAAATTGAACAGCAAAACTAATGATTTCTTTTGGAATAGCAGAACTGAGAATTCAAGCTATTTATTTTGTTACTAGGTGTTGAAAGAACATCCCAGCTCACAAAGCCACCATCTCTTCCTCTGGAGCCAGAGCCTACTGTGGAAGCAAGTTCAACTGAAACATCAGAACAAATAAGAGAAAAATAAGAGTAGGATGATCCTAGAGTAGGGATTTCTTGGGTGAAGATATGCCAGATTGGGAAAGGTCACATGATACAGGCAGAGTAGAGGCCAGTACTGTTCCCTGGCAGGTGCCACAGAATTAAAACACAGAACGCAGGGTTGATTGTGATGATCACGAGGAACCTAAGGTCCTTCCTACCTACCTGGTAATAGCATTTGAGGTAGGAAGCCCTCTGTTGGCCCCAAAAGCCAGGAAATAGAGAGAAGTCACTATAGACCATTCCTATTCCTTTAGGAATTGGGAGCAAGGCTTGAGGCTGTATATATGTAGCTTCCAGTTAGCAAGGCATATGATGCTGTTTACTTCTGAAAAGAGACTTTTATCTCCTGGTTGACTGACCCTTTCCTTTGTGCAAGAAAAGGCTGAGAAAGATCTCTGCTCATTAATCCTGTAATGACAAAGCCTTGGCTTGACTGGGCTATATTAGTCCTCAAGGCAAACACAAATCTTAAAAAAAAAAAAAGCTAAATCGAGGCCCAGACTGGTGTATATCCCAGCTGCATTTTCCCAAAGGGAGTCCAGAACAAGTCCCTATATTTTGTTTTGAGAGAGGTCAGTCTAGAAGCCAGATGATGGCAGTATGATAAGAAGCAGGAGCTGGTCTAGCATCAGCACCAAAGATCTAAAATTTTAAAAAATTAAAAAAAAAAGAAGAGCTTCTTAGCTGAGTAATTTTTATTTAAGACAATGAATGATAATCACTGACCAGATGCTATCAATACATTATCTATATGTCCTTTTAAGAATAAAGATTACATATCATCATTCCTTTGGGGAGAGTTGTTACTCAGGTATAAAAATAAGAGATTACAATAAAACCTTTTAAAAATAACCTATGCTCACAGTCTTCCTGTACCTGTTTCTAAGCCTCCTTTGAAACTAGAGGAAGATTCTCAAGCCAAGTTCCTACTTGGCACCCACATGGCCACTGGAGCAGCCCTGATGGATGACAGGCCAGCAATTTGTTTACTGAGGGCCAGTCCCCATTTTGCACTTAAAGTGCCTTTCAATCATAATAATTTGAAGGTGGAAAACTGACCTACTGCCCAACCAAATTGTGGAGTAAGCAGCTGAGCAGGAGCTCTTCAGTTCTCATATCTAAGAAGTGATACTCTCACCTGTACAGCTGGAATGCGGCAGAACTGGGATTTGTACCCTGAGCAGTTGAGAAAACTCACTTCTACATCAGCATAATCTCATGTACTAGACTGAACTGGCCTAGTTACTGAAATTGAAAAGGTTACTGAAGAGATCTCAGTGAGAAATAATGAAGGTATAAACTAAGACAGATGGAGAATAGGAGGAGGGAGATGTGAGTACTTTAAGAGCTAAAATCAACAGAAATTTGGGACTGGTTGGATGTGGCAGATAAGAATAGACTGTGGGATGGATGCCCATTTCTGGGCTTAGATAACCAGGGCAAGTATATAAATCAGAGTAAAGAAATATTGGACTAGGCTCGAGGGTTGGTTGTGGAGTCTAGTTTTAGACATTAGACACCTGAATAGCTGGATTTCAAGAGGGAAATGTGGTTTGAAGATAAAGATTCAGGAGTAATTTAGATTTGGCTTATAGCTGAAATCATAGATTTGAAGGGAGTCACCCAAGGAAAGGTAGGAATAATAAGGTAGGGAATCAATGAAAGAAAATAAACATTTAAAGGAAAAAGCAGAAGAACCCACAAAAAAGAGAGGAGAAGCATGTGATAAAGGAAAAAAACTGGGAGAGTGGTAGTATGGAAGTCCAAGGAAGAAAAGGCTCAGAAAGGGATAGTCAGCCTTGTTGAACTCTTCCAACAGAGAGGTACTGTTATCCCCATTTTATAAAAGAAGAAGCTGAGGTTGGGAGAGGCAGAATGAATTGTCAAAGCTTAAGTGGCAGGACCCAGGATTTAAATCCAGGTCTGGTTGTGAAGCTGCTTCTCTTAACCATCAGTCATCAAGTGATGATATACCTTTGGCAAAGTAGTGGTAGCAGCAGAAACCCAAGGACTTGAAGACTGAAGAAGTGTAGATTGGACTACTTTTTTTTTTTTTTTTTTTTAGACAGAATCTTACTCTGTTGCCCGGCTAGAGTACCGTGGCATCAACCTAGCTCACAGCAACCTCAGACTCCTGGGCTCAAGCAATCCTACTGCCTCAGCCTCCCGAGTAGCTGGGACTACAGGCATGTGCCACCATGCCTGGTTAATTTTATTAATTTTTATATATATATAATAATATGTATATTATACATTATATATATATTAGTTGTCTATTTTTTTAGTAGAGATGGGGGTCTCACTTTTGCTCAGGCTGGTCTCAAACTCCTGAGCTCAAATGATCCTCCTGCCTCAGCCTCCCAGATGCTAGGATTACAGGCATGAGCCACCATGCCCGGCCCGGACTACTCTTATTTCAAAAAGCTTAGACATAGAGGGAAGAGAGGCTTTCAGAGGACAGAATTAAATTCATTAATTTGAGAATATTTTAATATTTGGGGAGAAAAGGGTAAGAAGGTAGTCTTTTTTCTTTAAGTAAAACATGGTGAGTAGAAACAGAGAATGCAAGAGTAGGGCTCTTCAGTTTTTCTGCACACCTTGAGGGCAAGAACGTGCCTTGCATCCAGGGACAACAGTCAAGAAGTAATGCCTTCTACATTAATTTGGGTTTAGATTTTCTTAAAAAATAAATATTCCACTAGGTTGTGCAGGGCTAGTCTTTTGTGCATATGCATCTGCAGTTTTTTATTGACTCTGGTGAGAAAAGAGCTGTTCTGATTTCTAGTATGGGGGTTGGTTACTCATATCATCATGTTTCTAACAGAATTAGGAAAATGAGACCAAGAACATAATCACAGATAGAGATGGAGTGTGGAAGTATGCACTAGCATTAAGAAAACAAGTACCTTTCTTACACAATAATATTGGTGCAAAACTATGCATTCCAAAGACAGTAAAAATTTGAAGTGTATGATTACATGGTCATTTTGTTATTAAGGAAAAATCATTATCGTATGTTAATGGCTGAGTAGCTTGTGTTGGACCAATCCTCCCATAGATAACAAATGTAAACAAATGGATAAATATAACATTCTCTTGGTTTAATTTTTTAAAAATAGGTATTGTTCAAGGAAAAAAATTACATTTGTAGTGAAGTTGAACATATGTCAGTGTAACATGACAACTATAGTCTAAATCAGTGGTCCCCAACATTTTTGGTATGAGGAACCAGTTTCATGGAAGACAATTTTTCTATGGATGGCAGGGCTGTGGAGCTCAGGCGGTGATGTGAGTGATGAGGAGAGGCTGTAAATATAGATGAAGCTTCGCTTGCTCACCTGCTGCTAATCTCCTACTATGTGGCCCACCAGTTCCTAAATTTCATGGAAGACAATTTTTTCCACAGACCCGAGGGGGTCAGGGGAGAGGCAGCTGAGCTCTTTGGCCTGGTCCCTAACAGGCCATGGGCCAGTACTGGTCTGTGGCCCAGGGGTTGGGGACCGCAGGTCTAAAGGATAAGAGGGTACATGGAACTATATGGTTGCAAGGTTTTAATACTTTATGTTGATAGGGCAGCAGTCCCCAACATTTTTGGCACCAGGGACCAGTTTCAAGGAAGACAATTTTTCTTTTTCTTTTTTTTCAAATTTAAGATACTATGGGGGTACAAACATTTTGGTTACATGAAATGTGTTTGCCTTGCCCAAGCCAGGGCTACAAGCATGTCCTTCCCCCATACAGTGTGCCCCGTTTCCATTAACTGTGGGTTTACCCCCCTACCTGATCAGCACCCAGTGAGTATTACTACCATGTGAGCACCTTAGTGTTGATCAGTTAGTACCAACTGATGGCAAGTAGATGTGGTATGCGTTTTTCCATCCTGGTGATACCTTACTTTAAAGGATGGGTTCAATCTCTATCCAGAATAATATAAGAGGTGCTAGATCACCATTGTTTTTTGTAGTTGAGTAGTATTTCATGGTATACATACACCACATTTTATTAATCCACTCATGTATTGATGAGCATTTGGGTTGTTTCCACATCTTTGCAATTGTAAATTGTGCTGCTATAAACATTCGAGTGCAGATGTCTTTATTATAGAATGACTTTTTTTCCTTTGGATAGATGCCTAGTAGTGGGATTGCTGGATCAAGTGGTATTTCTATTTTTAGCCCTTTGAGGTATCTCCAAATTACTTTCCACAGGGGTTGTAATAATTTGCAGTTCCACTAGCAGTGTATGTAAGAGTGTTCCAATTTCTCCACATCCATGCCAGTATTCACTATTTTGGGACTTTTTGATAGAGGACATTCTCACTGGAGTTAGGTGATATCTCATTGTAGTTTTGATTTGGATTTCCCTAATGATTAGAGATGTTGAGCACTTTTTTATGTTTTCTAGCCATTGTCTGTTTTCTTTGAAAAGTTTCTGTTCATGTCCTTTGCCTATTTATTGATGGGTTGTTTGATTTTTTTCTTGTTGATTTTAAGTCCTATATAGATTCTTGTTATGAGCCCTTTATTGGATGTGTAGAAATCAAATATTTTCTCCCATTTTGTAGGTTGTCTATTTGTCTATTCACTCTAATGATAGTTTCCTTGCTGTGCAGAAGCTTTTTAATTTGACCAGGTCTCATTTATTTATTTTTGTTGCTGCTGTGATTGCTTTGGGGGTCTTCACAAATTCTTTACCTAGACCAATGTCTAAAAGAGTCTAACCAACATTTTCTTCCAGAATTCTTAAGGTTTCCTGCCTTAGGTTTAAGATTGTTAGCCATTACGAGTTGATCTTTGTGAGAGGTGAAAGGTGAGGATCCAGTTTCAATCTTCTGCATATGGATATCCAGTTTTCCCAGCACCACTTATTGAATAGAAATTCTTTTCCCCAATGTATATTTTTGTCTGCTTTATCGAAGATTAGATGACAATATGAGGATGGTTTTATATTTGGGATCTTTGTCCTATTCCAAAGGTCTATATCTCTGTTCTTGTGCCAATACCATGCTGTTTTGGTTACTACAGCCTTGTAGTAAAGATCAAAGTCTGGCAGGGTGCGGTGGCTCACACCTGTAATCCTAGCTCTCTGGGAGGCCAAGGCAGGAGAATTGCTCAAGGTCAGGAGTTTGGGCCCAGCCTGAGCAAGAATGAGACCCTGTCTCTACTACTAAAAAAAAAATACAAAGAAATTAATTGGCCAACTAAAAATATATAGAAAAAATTAGTCAGGCATGGTAGTGCATGCCTGTAGTCCCAGCTACTCGGGAGGCTGAGGCAGAAGGATTGCTTGAGCCCAGGAGTTAGAGGTTGCTGTGAGCTAGGCTGATGCCACGGCACTCTAGCACTCTAGCCTGAGCAACAGAGTGAGACTCTGTCTCAAAAAAAAAAAAAAAATTGAAGTCTGACAGACTGATGCCTGCCAATTCGTTCTTTTTGCTTAAGATTGCTTTGGCTATATGAGATCTTCTCTGGTTCCAGATGAAGTGTAGAATTATTTTTTCTAAATCTGTAAAGAATGATGGTGGAATTTTGATAGGGGCTGCATTAATTCTGTAGATCACTTTAGGTAGAATGGACATTTTAACAATATTGATTCTACCAATCTATGAGCATGGTAGGGATTTCCATCTGTGCACATCTTCTACAATTTCTCTTCTCAGTGTTTCTTAGTTCTCCCTATATATATCTTTATCTCCTTCATTAAAGATATTTCTAAATATTTAATTTTCTTTGATGCTATTGTGAAAGATGTTGCATCTTTGATTTGATTTTCAGCTTGACTGTTACTGGTGCATATGAATGCCACTGATTTATGTGCATTAATTTTGTATCCTGAGACTATACTGAATTAGTTTATCAATTCCAGGAGTCTCTTGGTTGAATCCTTGGGATTTTCTAGATATAACAGCATATCATCAGCAAAGAGTGAGAGTTTGACCTCTTCTCTCCCCATTTGGACACCCTTAATTCCCTTCTCTTGTCTGACTGCTCTTGCAAGGACTTCCCAGCACTATGTTGAATAGAAGTGGAGATAGTGGGCAACTTTGGTTCCAGTTCTAAGTGGGAATGCTTTCAATTTTTCCCCATTCAATATGACAATTGGCTATGGGTTTATTGTATATGGCCTTAGTAATTTTAAGGAATGTCCCATCTATGCCTATTTTGTTATGGGTTTTTATCATAAAAGTGTGCTGGATTTTATCAAATCCTTTTTCTCCATCAATTGAGAGAATCATATGGTCTTTGTTCTTGCTTTTATTTATGTGGTGAATTACATTTATAGATTTGCATATGTTGAACCAGCCTTGCATCTCTGGGATGAAGCTCACCTGGTCGTGATGAATTATTTTTTTGATGTGCTGTGGATTCGGTTTGCTAAGATTTTGTTGAGGATTTTTGCATCTATATTCATGAGAGATATGGTTTTCTTCTCTGGTTTTCTTTTTTTGTTGCATCCTTTCCTGGCTTTGGTATCAAGGTGATATTGGCTTCATAGAATGAGCTGGGGAGGATACCATCCTTCTCAATGTTTTGGAATGTTTTTCCATGGACTGGGGCAGGGGGGGATGGTTTGGGGATGATTCAAGCACAGTACATTTATTGTGCATTTTATTTCTATTATTATTACACTGTCACTTGGCACTCACTGATAGGGTTTTTATATGAGCCTACAAGCAATTGA